CAAATATCACAGTACAACGACTGAAATTTCCTTTGAGAGCCAAATTTTTTAAACTTAAACTATACAGGTAGGTACACTGTTATTAACTTAATTAGGGGACTCCTAAGCTGGCCTTCGCTAAAACGGTCCTCAGTCTGATGGAGGTACGTTCGCTGAGGCCGACCCCTTCCAACTCTCCATCCGCACTCGTCTTGTAGACTTGTTTCGTCCATCTCCTTTCCGAAAACCGACTTCTGTGCGTGGGCCACGAAGTTTCAATCGCACTGTATGTGCGCACCCGCACGTGGTATTTTGTGGAAGAGCCACACTCAAGGGGCCAAAGCGCCGCATGTGGCTCGCGAGCCGGGGTTTGCCGACCACTGGTCTAGGTAACAGGTGACCTTGGCAACTGTGAAAAGCAACATTTGAATTTAGGGGATGTGTACCCAGAAGAAATGACTGGCTGGGAGCCGGGAATGGGGTGCGGGTGGAGAGGCCCTCAAAGGTCTGAGGCAGGGACGAGGTTCAGTTTGTGGCTCTCCCTGGGCACCCAGGACGATGCGGTACTCGGTACATGTCTGCCGAATGGATGGGAAGAGTGTTAGAGAGCCTGCCGCAGATAACGGACATACTTGACCGTTGGCGGCACAGGCCTGCGCTCAAAAGGCTGCTGGAGGCCCAGGGTGGGTGAATGGGAAGGTACTGGCTTTGCCTTTGCGGGTTTTCTACGTCGTCTTTCCTGATCCTTTTTCACTGGCACCTTCCGGCCGTTTTTGGTGGTCACTTGAATAGCAAGTCTTGATTTTTTAAAAAGTCTCCAAGCTCCTGGCCGGATAGAGCAGTGACCTGACTGCTTACTTGGCTGCCACTTAAGGAAATGTAACAAACCAAAGCCCATCACAGGGACACCAGGGAAGTGAAGGGGAGACAAGGCAGCCGTTCTCTCCTCTGACTCCCTTGGCCGCCTCGGACTCAGAGTAAAGATAACTCTAGCAGCAAATTAACATTGTTTAAGGCAAGTCAGATAATTTCCTAAAAAAAAAAGAAAAAAAAAAGAAAATGAATGTGTTGTTTCCTAGCCTTCCTATCACAAGTAGGAGTTTTCATTTTTGTTGTTGGATTTTTATTTTCTGTTTTGTTCTGTTTTTTACCAGAGTGAGGGTGCTATTTGTCTTTCTTGGCTACTTTCTGAAACACATGCGTTCAGTCAAATGTTGAAAGCCATTACATTTCCACTTTTGCTGTGTTTTCTTTGTACCCATCTCTCCGCCCTTTACTCAGGGAGCGTGTAATGGGCTGCAGGGCCACGCTGCCCACCCTTCCGGGAAGTCCTCCAGGATCAGGCGAATGCCCACTGAAAGCACCTCTCCCCTCCCAGGGCACAGTGCGGCCCTAGCTCTGCCCTATACTTTCTGGTAGAGTTTTCCCTCCTTTTCTGTGGGTGGGTCTGTGCCTCTGCTTAGGCACTGTAGGAGCTAAGCCCATGATTTAGGCTTCTCCGTATCCTTCCCACTCATGGCGGGTTTCCAGTGTGTACCTGGTCATTTAAGGAAGATGATGATGGAAAGAGGACACGCCTTGGTCGGGGATGATTTAATTAATTGCCAGCTCTGCCACCGTGGGAAAGTCAGGAGCTCCTGCTCCTCATTGCTAACTGGGGATAATAAAACCTGCAGTGGTTTCTGACAGTCACGTGGGAAGCAAAATAAATGCATGTGAGTAAAGATATGGATGGAAACGTGGTTCATTGAAGAACTTAAGTGTAACGGTTGGAACTGGCTCAGGCATCAGTAAGCGTTTACTGAGCACCCGCACTGTGTTGGGGCGTCCTGGGGGCTGGGGTTGGTACTCAAGGGACTAGGAAAGCCACATGGAGGTGGGCGGGCAGGGGGCCTCCTGGGCAGAGGGCGGCCTGGGCAAAGGCCCGGAGGCCAGTCTCCGCAGGAGCTCATGTGGCTGGAGCTCCTATTGGACTCACCCCTTTGCTCAGCTATCTCGCTAGGCTGTATGAATAGGCCGCATCAATACCTAGCACACTTTATTAACTGCTTTTACTCAAATGGCAGTTTTTAAAATATTACTCAAAGTCATCAAAATCATATTGAAAAGCACTGAGTGTGACCAGTCTGTTGAAATTCTGATAAAACGCTTGATTTGTAAACTCCCATGGAGGGCGCCGTATGTTATGATACACGCGCGTTGGCTGAGCTTGGGAAGTCTTTCTGTACATACGTCTAAAAATTGTAAATTATCATAGAATCTAGGATTCTTTAAAAAAGTAATTTATTCAAGCTTCATATGGTATGAACCAATAGAGTTAAAAGTGAATTTTTTTTGTTTTTTAAATCCAATTAATTTGATTTGCTTACTTAAAAGCAAGACATTGTCAACTTGTTAAAGTCTAGAAATAGGTTTTTAAAATAAAATTCTGAATTTTTACTTTACCTGTTCAAGAAAGGTTTTAAGGAGACACTAGAAATTAAATAGAATATGCTTTTGGGAAGCTCTGAGCCAGTTAAAACAAAGACAAACAAAAAGGCAGCCCCTACAAGTTTAAAGTCCCAGGAATGATAAGCCCTTTGTTTCAATGACAGTAAAACTGAAGTATAACAGGCCTGGGGGATAAAATTTCATATAAATATTTTACTAACTCCATGTAGGTGATTAAACTATATTTTTCAAAGTTTTTAAATGCCTCTCTTTCTATGAAAGAGCTACACATTTCCTGTTTTATGGTATTTCTTCCAAAGCATAGAATGTTCTATCTGGCCCTCAAAGTGTCCGGGGGCGGGGGTGGGGGGACAGCTCACTCACGCAGGCCCGGAGGCTCTCCCACGTGTCCGATGGCTGACGGGGCTGCACCTGGGGCCTCCTTCTTATTCCTTAGGGCTGGGAGCTGGCCCTCCAGCCACTAACCACCCACCTACAGCCACAGCGCCAATACCTGGGGTGCCAATACATGGAGCGCCGTAAAGCCATTTAAGCGATAAATGCCATGAACCGTAGTTTAGGATTTGTTCTTTTGACTTGAGTGTTTTCTTTTTAGTTTCCCTGGTTAAGGTGAAAGGGGCTTGTTCCCGGCCATAGGGCTGCCTGTTAAACCTGCCGGTCACTGGGAGCAGCAGGCACTCCCCTGGCGCAGGGGCTGAGCCACCATGGAGGGGGCGGGGGGGGGGGGGGGGTCTGTCCTTTCCTAGGACACGTCTCTCCTTCGTTTAAATGACATGATGTCTTTTGCTGCCTCTTGAATCTGACGTGTTGGGCTAGAGACCCTGGAGCCCCCACAGAGCCTGGGATTCCTGGTGGATTCGACAGTGGAGACCTCGTGGGGAAGCTGGCGGCCTCCACAGGGAAAAGTGATGACTCACCACTCCCTCCCTGGACTTGTCAACTGGCACAAGCAGATGCCCAGTGGAGTTTTAAAATGGTCTCCTTAAACGAGAAGGAATCTTCACTTAAAGAATAATAACAACAGACCTTCTTGTGGTCGGTGCTGAGGGGGCTCAGCTGACGCCCCATCTCCCTTCTCGGGGCCCGCTTCGCTTGGTGAGGCCTAGGCCCCTGACCGAGCTCACAGCGCTCTCCCGTGGCTTTCCGTTCGCTGTGGGTCCATCCGGGCTGCGCCGGGTCAGGCAGGGAGCACCGTCCAGCGGGGAGTCTCTCTCCAAACCCCCAGGACAGGCTGAGAGCTGCCCTGAGCCTCTGGCTCAGCCGGCAGAGGAGGTGACAGGCAGCCGCTACCCTCGCAGGAAAGCGGGCCCTTTTCCTTGGGACACTGCGGGCCTGACCTGCCTTTTCTGTGTTTCCAGGTTTACTGGCGGCACTGAGCGCGGTGCTGAGGGAGCAGCACCGGGGAGCAGCCAGCGCGGATCCGGTGGAGGGACACCTCGAGGCCTGCACCCGTCCTGGGGGTCACCCTCGAGGCCTGCACCCCTGGTGCAGCGGCGACGCGAGAGGCCCTGGGAGAAACCGGGCTGGGATGCCGGCTGCGTGAGCTCCTGTGACAGGATGGAGGAAGAGGAGGTGGAATGTCCAGACTCCTCGTCGGAAAAGCGCTATTTCCCGGAATCTCTGGATTCCAGTGACGGCGAGGAGGAGGGCCTCCTGGCCTGTGAGGACCTGGAACTGAACCCTTTCGACGGGCTGCCGTACTCCTCCCGCTACTACAAGCTCCTGCGAGAGAGAGAGGCCCTTCCCATCTGGACGGAAAAGTACTCCTTCATGGAGAACCTGCTCCAGAGTCAGGTGGTGATCGTTTCCGGAGACGCCAAGTGCGGGAAGAGCTCCCAGGTGAGTGGCCCGCCGCCCGGGCCCCCACGTGTCTTCATGACGACACGGCCCAGCGTCGGCTGCTGTCGTCTGCATCATGACGTGACGTGAGCCAAAAGCCAGGCAGCAGAAATTAAGTTCCCTGGTGCATCCCCACGCCGGCGGACCAGCAGGGATGCTGCGTGGGATTAGTGTGCCGCTAGTCAGGGCGGGAGCAGGTCCATGTCCGTGGCCTCAGCTGCGTGGACTTTAAAGCTGAGACGCATGCTGTTTGCCTGCGGGCTTCAGGGTGTGACTGTCGGGTCTGCACGCCCAGCAGCCAGCATGCCTGGATGGCTTGTTGGTAAAGCTGTGGGGGATCGTGTCTGTGGGGGGCCGGGGCCTCGGGCTGCTCCAGCTGTGGACTCCGTGACTGGTGCTGAGTGGGGAGGGAGGGGCCTTGGCACGGGCCCCAGGCGGCTGGTGGGAGGCGGCGGGCGTCCTGGAGACTTGCGGGAGGAAGTGTGGCTTAGGGCGCAGGTGTGCCCAGTGCACATGTCGCAGTCCGGGGTCAGAGGTCCATGGATGAGGCGAGGACCTGCAGAGCGGACGGGAGCGGCCTCCTGTGCGTGTCCCCCGGAGGCAGCGCTGAGCCGTATAGGACATCGCGGCCACTGCTGCTGGGTTCTGGTCTGGACCGAGCCCACCCGAGGACCGGGTCCGACCCTCCGCAATCCAGCAGCTCAGCACCGTGCCTGTCGCCTGGGGTAGGTCGAGCCACTTCACTTTGCTGGCTGAGATAGTGCAGTTTGTAGAATCTCAGGCACTGACGTCAATAAGGCCCTGATGCAGATTAGATCCTGGTCACCAGAGGCCACTCACCGCTAAAGCACTGGCGGGCCGAGGCCTGGTGATCGCTCTCGGGGGAGCCAGGGGCCGGGACCCGGTCCTCTTGGCACCCAGGGAGCGGGGGGCTGGGACCCGGTCCTCTTGGCGCCCAGGGAGCGGGGGGCCGGGACCTGGTTCTCAGGGCACCCACGCTGTCAGCCTCCCTTGCACCCCGAGGTGGCGAGGTGGCTTCACTGCCCTGGCTGTGACCCCCCTCACGTCCCAGTGGGAAGACGCATGAGGCCGTGGGCTGGGAAGCAGACAGCCGTGGGGTGCGCTCAGAAGAGTCAAAGCCGTGCTCCCTAGCAGGTTCCTAGCGTGTGTGTAAATGTGGGTGTCTGCTGCCCAAACTCCAAGGAGACCGCTTGGTAAATAGGGTGTTTTCCATGTGATGGAGCGGTAACCTGCTTTTATCACCAAATGACGTTGCTGTGTCACCACAGCAAAGCGGGCGGCCTTGGTGTTTTGTCTGCCCTGGGAAGGTGCAGCCTCCCAGCCTCCTGGTTCTCACCAAGCGGCACCTTCCAGAGACTGTGGGGGGAGGAGGAAGGTGCTATGGGGGCAGAGAAAATTGCCCCCGAGCAGGCACAGAATCGAGGCTCAGAATGGGGTGCAGCACGGCCTTCAAGGTCTTCACTGAGGCAGGGAGCCAGGAGCCCCCGGTGACGGTCACACCCCAGCGATGGCTGAGTCACTATTAGGAGCCGAGCTTTGAGCTGTGAGGCTCCCACCTCCTCAGGCCCCCGTGACCCAGGCCTCCAGGCTGCGGAGGGGAGTGAAGGGCGGATGTGCTCTCCCCTCTGCCAGCAGCCCTGGTGCCCACTGGGTGGGTCCCTGGGTTACTATCTGCCGGCTGTGGCTGAACTTTCGCGGGGCCTGTAGCTGGTTGTGACTGTCCTGCCTGGATTCGGTCCGTGTCCTGCGCAGTGTGTCACGCGCTCACCTCTGTAGCACAAGCGGCGCTGAGTACATGGCTGATTCGTTTTTCACCGGCTGGCACCTTTCTTCAAATGCTGGAACTACATTTGCACGGTTAGTGGGTGGGTATTTGCAGTTCACGGGAGTCATTCATTTGGAATTACTTATGATTTCTGGTAAAGTTATGTCTTTTTCAAATTACAGTGAGGATTAAAATCTAAGAATTCCATGATGGGCCTAGCAAATATAAAATTATTGATAGCTAAATATTAAAACTTAAATACCTTAAATCTATTTAAAAACACTCTTGGGATGATTTATCTTAAAAACACGGGTAGCAGAGTGAAGCTCACTGGCAGTGTCTTGGAACTAACACACAGTGGACTCGGCCCTTCCACTACCATCGTTCTTGCACCAATGAACTTGAGATGATGCAGCGTATTCACCTTTAAATACCAGGCTCATCTGTTTATTTTATCCTGAGCATTTAAATATAAACGCTTTAACTCTGAGTCACTATTTCTCATCTCAATGCTATGCAGTGTTTACTTTGTTAAAACACAAGAGTTGATATGGCACGGCATGTTTTTCAGGGAGGTTTCCCGTAGCCAGAAAGAAAATAGCAGTTCATGCATAGATTAGTGTTGTGTTTGTTCTTCAGAAATATAGCTGAGGGTAAGAATATATGTGTATTTTGCCTTTTATTTTTACCTGCCTTTTTCATCTGGGAATCGAACGCTAACAGTCCTAACGCCTTCCTGTTCTTTCTCGTTGATTTCTTTGCCGGTGGGAACTCTGGGGTAAACACAGACTGTTCACTCAGGGGTGACTCGCTGGTGGGTGTCCCGGCGGGCGCTGACGGCTGGCTCTCCCGCAGGTGCCGCAGTGGTGTGCCGAGTACTGCCTCTCCGTCCATTACCAGCACGGGGGCGTGGTGTGCACGCAGGCACACAAGCAGCCCGCCGTCCAGCTCGCCCTGCGCGTGGCGGACGAAATGGATGTCAACATTGGCCACGAGGTCGGCTACGTGATCCCGTTTGAGAACTGCTGCACCAGCGAGACGATCCTGAGGTGGGTGGGGTTCCGCCTGCTATGCTGGCGACTGGGCTTGTGTTTCGCAATCACCGGAGCGTGTGCCCTGCATTCCACGTCAAGGTCCAAGCCTCCGCAGTGTTCACGACGGCTCTGTCCCCGCCCGGCCTCGTCGGGATTCCTGGTCTAATCTCCCGCGACCCTCAGGGAAGTCACTTGCTGGGTGGCCCCCGACCTCAGTCTTGTCTTCTCAGGCCCCGCCTCCGGGTGGGTCTGCATGGGCTGCCGTGTGCTGGCCAGACACGGGGCCTGGTCATCCACACCCCCCTCTGCTGCTGAGCCACCCTCTCCGGGCTTGGCTAGTCCCCCAGTCCATGCCAGGCCCCCGCCTCCACGGAGGCTTCCCTGCCCTCCCACAGTGTCAGCAGAAAACCCGGATGGTTTACCAAACTGGACATCAGCCCCCATCATGGCTGTTTAGCTCCATGTTTTTCTTTTTTTTTTTTTTTTTAATATATTCTATTAATTTTTTACAGAGAGGAAGGGAGAGAGATAGAGAGAGTTAGAAACATCGATGAGAGAGAAACATCGATCAGCTGCCTCCTGCACATCTCCCACTGGGGATATGCCCGCAACCCAGGTACATGCCCTTGACCGGAATCGAACCCGGGACCCTTCAGTCCGCAGGCCGACGCTCTATCCACCGAGCCAAACCGGTTTCGGCATACTCCGTGTTTTTCAAACTGTACTTTTCCAAGTCTCCTCATTTACCAGTTTGAGCTAGTCATGTCTACCTTCGAGATTTATTCTCTTTAAATGAGAAAGGCGCCAGCACCAGCACAGTGCCTGGCACCGCGAGGGGATTAGTAAGTGTTCGCACCCTTCCTTTTCTTTCTTGGAAGGGGTCAGCTGAGGACTGTCAGGCCCAGGCCACCCACCCCCCGTTCAATGACGTGGCGGGAGGACTCCGGGCTCAGCATGTAGTTGACTCACAGCTCAGACTTACTGTGTGAAAGCGCACTACGCAGTCAGCGAGGGAGATGGCACGGGGTGGAGTCCACGGGAACCCAGGCGCACTAGCGCCGAGGGCAGAGCCTTTAACTGGGCTCCAGAGATGCTCCTGGGGGCCTGTGACCGTCTGTAAACGTTTAAAGTTTGCTCACGTGCATTTTGCGGTTGTGAAGGCCTGTGGACTTTTCCGACGTGAAGGACTCTTGGCCCAGTAAAGGCTCAGAACTCCTGGTAATAGCGCGGGACACAGGCGCGGCATTTCGTGGTCCTGGGAGCTGGGTCCGAGTCCTCGCGTGAGGACCTCTCCTAGCTGCGTGTCCTCCTGCAGGTACTGCACTGATGACATGCTGCAGCGGGAGATGATGTCCAGCCCCTTCCTGGCCAGCTACGGCGTCATCGTCCTGGACGACATCCAGGAGAGAAGCATTGCCACCGACGTGCTGCTCGGGCTTCTCAAAGGCGTCTTGCTGGCGAGGCCGGAGCTGAAGCTCGTCATTAACACCCCGCCCCTGCTGCTCAGCAAGCTCAGCGCTCACTACGGCGACGTGCCGCTGGTGGAGGTGCCGAGCAGGCGCCCCGTGGAGGTGGTGCACCGCAGCGGGGCTCCGGACGAGGCTCTGGAGTCTGTTTTGCGCCTCATCCTGGAAATTCACCACTCTGGTGAGAAGGGCGACATTGTCGTCTTCCTGGCCTGTGAACAAGTAAGTAACAAAATCTAACCCAACAGGGGAACGCGGTTCCGCCCTGGAAACCTTTCAAGCTCGCGGGATGCTTTCAATGACTAACATACAGGGCTCAGTTTGCTACTGAGTAAATATTTGGTTCCTCAGTTTTTGCACTTTGGGAGAAAGGTAGACAGGTAAATAAGACCACGTGGAAAAGGAATATTTCCACAACCAGGTGCTGCTCTGGGGTGAGGCCTCGTCCCAACCCTTCGGAACATCCCGGAGCTGGTTCCCTCCCCAGCTCGGCCACGTGGGCGCCCGAGGGTAGCGCCGGTGCCGCACCCCTCAGACCGCTCTTGCCGCCTCCCCACCATCGGGAGCGTTTGTTGGAGATGCGATGAGGAACATAAGCTAAGTATGTGACACGGGGCCAACAAACAAGCAAGCGAACGAGGCCCCACAAACGTTCCTACGCTAGCCAGTGGGGTGTTGGCGGAGGGATCATGTACAGCCCGCCCAGGGGCTGTCTCCTGACGCCAGGCACCTGGTCTGAAAAGATGGAGAAGAATCTTACCTTGGATTCTTCAAAACGTCTTTGGAAAAGAGCAACTGGGAACGTGTGACAGCCTGTCGCTGCTTTCAGTCGCGTGCCGTTTGGGGACACCCGTCCGTGCTGCAGCTGCCCTGGGGCCTCCCCTCCGCTGCCCTGACTCTCAGCCTCCAGTCTCCAGAAAGAGACCTTCCATCCTGGGGCTGGTTTCCGGGCCTTGCTCCTACCACCCTCTCACTCCGAAAGCCCTGGTTTGGACTGTGACCCACGATGTAGCGACCCCGTGACTGAGCAGAAGCCCAGAAGGAAACTGATCGAGGGGCTGAGCCACCGCCGAAGAGACCTCAGTTCCCGCCGGGGCTCCCCACGCGGCCACCTGCTTCCAGAAGCGCTCCCAGACCTGCTTCTCTGCTGACGTGTGGAGCCCGGGATGCTGGTCCCGCCGGGACACCAGTCCTCTCAGCTGAGACCGTCTGTCCCGTGAGGACAGTGACTCAGAGTCTCAAGTCCATGGTGACCAGAGTGTCTGTCAGCTCGCTGTGTGGCGACAGCTTCCTCAGTAACAACTCCTCGCCCACGTCGGGGCTTATTGTGACCATGTCTCCTCGAGGGGGCGCTCCTGGGAGTGGGTCTCCCGAGTCCGCCTGAGCTGTCACCAGTGGCCTCGAGCAGGTGCCGGCGTACCCAGCGGGGGGGCAGGGGCAGACCCCCGGGCTCAGAGAGCTGGGTCACCCCCACATCACACCGCGAGCCTGGCCTGCCGAAGAGCCCAGTCCTGCGGAGCCTTAGCGTCTTGACAGTGACGGTCGGGTGAAGGCTGCAGGCGGATCTGCATCTGCGCCTGACATGAGGGTGCACCCAGTGGGCAGGACGGCCTCACCCCTCGCCCCAGCGTCCCCGCCGCCACCTGGCTCTCGAGCAAGAACACAGAGCAGCATCCTGACGGGACTGTCCTTCCCACTTGTGTCGGGAGCTCCTCTCCTGTGGTCTCGGGAGTCACGTCCCCTGTCCTCCTGGAAGCTTGCTTGGTTTCTAGGTGAACTTAAACTCTGCCGTAACAGTAAATGCCACGGAAAACAGAGGCAGGCAGAAACGCACCAAGTGTCACTTCAGACCGAGTCCTCTCCAGCCTTTCAGGGGGAGCACCTCACCCCATACCCTGAGTGTTGACAGCACGCAGCTCCTCGGCCCCGGCTGTCTGCTAGCCCGCAGAACAGTGCCGTCAGCAGGGAGCACGGGCTGGGGTTCTGGGAATGTCCGCTCAGGCTCCCGGGCGACTCCGAGCTGCACAAGAGGCTGTTCAGGTTTTCCCGGGAAGGGCTCCATCGTGGGTTTCCTCCGGGGGCCGGCCTCGTGTGGCTCTTGTTCCGTGGCTTTGCAGGTAATTCTGGTAATTACCTGAGGTAAATGCACTGTACACTGAGGAAGAGAGAAATGACTAAGCAAACCAGCTGCAGCACAAAATGCATATTTTAAGCCTATTTTTCAAATTCGGAAGGTTCTGACCGCAGAGCCCTGTGCCAGCTGAGCGTGAGGAGTCTGGCCCACCTGCAGCACCTGCTGCTGGGCGGTTTGTTCCCTTAGGCAGGTCCTTCTGTTCTTCCTTCCCCCCATTTGGAACAAACTCACCATCAGAACCCACCTGCAGCCAGAAAGGTGAAGCCACTAGAAGCCAATAGAGAACTATGGCTCTAGTGAAGTCTAGGGGGTGAGACTCATTTCCAGAATGACCTGGGAGAGCCCTGATGGTAGGGTGTTTGTGCGCGGTGATTGGGAATCTGGAGACTGTAACTCCTGGCTCCTGGTTCTGCCGCCAGGAAAGCAGTGATGCATCGTCACTGATGTGAGAATAAGTTTTGTTTAGCTGCCACTGCTAATGGAGATGAGAACTGCATCAGGCTAGGAAATTAGGATGAGCCCTGGCCGGTTGGGCTCAGTACATGGAGCATCGACCTGCAGACTAAAGGGTCCCAGGTTCAATGTCATTCAAGGGCACATACCTGGTTGCAGGCTCCTCCCCGGGCCCCTGCGCAGGAGGCAACCAATCAGTGCTGCTCTCACATCGATATTTCTGTCTTTCCTTCTCTCTTCTACTCTCTCAATAAAAAAAAATCAATGGGCCGAAACCGGTTTGGCTCAGTGGATAGAGCGTCGGCCTGCGGACTGAAAGGTCCCAGGTTCGATTCCGGTCAAGGGCATGTACCTGGGTTGCGGGCATATCCCCAGTGGGAGATGTGCAGGAGGCAGCTGATCGATGTTTCTCTCTCATCGATGTTTCTAACTCTCTATCTCTCTCCCTTCCTCTCTGTGAAAAATCAATAAAATATAAAAAAAAAAAAAAATCAATGGAAAAATATCCTCGGGTGAAGTTTAAAAACAAAAATAGGATGACTGCATAGAGGCAAAGATAGTATATTTCCAGAGGAAAACAATCTTGCACTGAAAGCAATGAAACTGTAAATTACCTTCCCCAAAGAAACGTTCTCATCCCTCTCGTCCTCCTTTACCCTTGATGGCGCCAGACACGGTTCCTTCCTGTGGACACGGCGGCTTCTGCCTACAGTGGTGTTAATGGGCCTCGGTGGTGACGCTGTCTGTGATGTGCCACGTACTCATGGGTGCTGTCACCTCTGCCCGTTAGGATATTGAAAAAGCCTACGAAACCGTCTGTCGAGAAGGCTGTCACCCTGACGCAGACCACGGCGAGCTGGTGGTGGTGCCTTTGTACCCAAGAGAGAAGTGTGCGCTGTTCAAGCCAAACGACGAGACAGAGAGAAGCTGCCCAGCCCCTCAGCGGCGAGTGGTGCTGACCGCCAGCCCCGGGGAGGCGCTGATCGGGAGCAGCTCGGTCCGCTTTGTCATCGACGTGGGTGTGGAGAGGAGGAAGGTAACTCTTACCAAACAGCTGGGGAGCGTCGAGAGTGAGTTTCTTGGGTTCCTGTTCTGGGCCAGACAGTGAGGGTGAAGGCTGAGGGGTGCTGTGCTCGCTCCAGGGCAGGGAGTGGCCGCTGCCCTTCGTGGCCCCGTGTGGTCTGGACACAATAAAGGGGGGGAGGCGGCAGAGGCAGCGCCGTGAGGGAGGACCCAGCTACGGAGCACCAGGTGGGGGTCCTGGTCAGCCCTTTTTCTTTAGCAAATTGCTGCCTCCTGAACAGTCAGTGCTACTGGGTGTTTCTGGTAACCCTTTATCAGAGTCGTTAGCATCTTCCCTCAAAGAACTTACTGAAAGTCAGTTTCAAGTGCACTGGTGCTGGTTTTAACAGATTGTCACTTATAACTACATAATAAAATTCCACCTAAAATGTTAAAGAATGTATTATTTTCTATAGCTGCCTTTAAAGAAAAAAAATTAGTGAAAATGGAATAGGACAGCTCACTCTCAAAGCTGGGACTTAAGTCCTGGCATTTCAAACCGAACAGGACCTTCCTGAGCACTGATCCACTGAGCGTGACCAGATGCTGTGTGGCCCTCACCTCCCGAAAACCGCGCCTTAGGGAGGTTCCGGGACAGGGTGCTTGATAATGAATCAGCCCCACCAGGGACGCCAGGGTCACTCCTTAAGCCCCCCGAAGAGCAACACTGGTGGTGCCGTCGCAGTCCCCCTGGAGCTGGCAGGATGGACGAGGTCGGGGCACGTATGCAGGGAGACGGGAGCTCGGGCGGTTTGCACAGAACCTTGACGGGGCAGCACGGCCAGGTGACAGTGCTCCGCATGGCACAGCCAGGTGACAGTGCTCCGCGTGGCACAGCCAGGTGACAGTGCTCCGCGTGGCACAGCCAGGTGACAGTGCTCCGCGTGGCACGGCCAGGTGACAGTGCTCCGCGTGGCACGGCCAGGTGACAGTGCTCGCGAAGGGTGGCACCAGTATCTCGGCGATGCCTGAGGCCCACACTGTGGGAAGCAGACAGCCTTTAAGTCCACCGACCCGCGTGCTTGGCGCTTCCATCTCGAGACAAGCAGAGCACCGTGGACGCGTGGACGGGCCTGTGGCAGAGCCTCCAGGGGAATGGCGCTGAGGGTGCTGTCTCCGCCCACAGGTGTACAACCCGCGCATCCGGGCGAGCTCGCGGGTCAGGCAGCCCATCAGCCAAAGCCAAGCGGAGGCGCGCAAGCAGATCCTCAGCTCGTCAGGTAACGCTGCGGGCGTCACCCGACTCCCGGGCACCCCGGCCACGGCCACAGCAGGCGAGCACTTCCCTTGTTTCTCCCAGGAAAGCTGTTCTGTCTGTACTCGGAGGAGTTTGCCTCCAAGGACATGCGGCCGCTGAAGCCGGCCCAAGTGCAGGCGGCCAACCTGACGAGCATGGTGCTCTTCATGAAGCGCGTCGCCATCGCGGGCCTGGGCCACTGCGACCTCCTCAACACACCAGGTAGCGCGCCGGGGGGGAGGGGGGGGGCCTAAGCTGACGGCGGCATCGTGTTGGGGACACAGATGTGTGGTCACGAGGGGAGAAGAAAAGCGGGAATTGTAGTGTCGCGATTTGGAAAAGCAAACAGCGCGCCATCACCATCAGAATCCCGTTCTCGGTGGCCCCCCTGTGAGACCAGCTGGTCACCAGGGACAGAGGGGCAGGGGAGAATTTACTGTCCCCTGACTACGCACGTGTACGCTGCTGCGCTGGGGAGCAGAGCTGTGGGCTGACCTGACTCACTGCTCTGGAAGGGACACCTCGATGCTCGCAGCTGCCGCCCGTGTCCCGCTGATGAATGAAACCCGCAGGTCAGCACGCTGGTCCCCTTTTCAGGGTCCATGAGCCGTGAGGAGAGAATCCGGCATCACGGGGCCTCAGGCTAAGTGAGCTTAGATCCTGATGCAGATCTCTTTCAAATACAAGCCAGTCATTTCCCTTCCCTAGTCCTGAGGGCTGACCTCCAGCCTGAGTGACAGTCACTGCTGACCGGGGTCAGGGAGCTCAGGGCCAGCTGGCCCTGCATGAGAGGGACTCAGAGATGTGGTACATCACAGACAACATCACCACTTCGAGTCCAATTAACACAACTATAGGCAGAAGCCGCAGTGTCCACCTAGAGCAGCGGTTCTCAACCTGTGGGTCGCGACCCCTTTGGCGGTCGAACGACCCTTTCACAGGGGTCGCCTAAGACCACCCTGCATACCAGATATTTACATGACGATTCATCACAGTAGCAACATGACAGTGATGAAGTAGCAACGAAAATAATTTTATGGTTGGGCCACAACATAAGAACTGTATTTAAAGGGCCAGAAGGTTGAGAACCACTGACCTAGAGAGACTCGGATGAGCCTGCCCAGCCTGTCCTGTGTGGGCACCGGGCACGGGCCCTCTGGTCCTCTGGGTGGCTGTGAGGTCTGCAGTAGTTTCTCACGTGTGCTGCTGACCATAGAGGGGACGCCCATAGATCCCCCAGGTCCTCTGTACAGCTGTCTCCTTGCACCAGACCAGTGGGCTCTGACCACTGTAGGCTCCTCAAACCCACAGCACCATCCCCACAGCTCAGGGTCTGCAGCTCCATCCGGCTTCCCTCCCTGCACCACAGCCTGAAACTTTAAGGCAGTAGCTGGGCAGTCACGTGGCTCATGTCGTTGGTGTCCCCGCTCAGGAGTCCGCCCTTCATCGCCTGGTGTTCTCTGTCTTGGAACTGCCGAGTCATGTTTGTTCACTACGGGAGGGCCATCCCGGGCCTGTCCCTCCGCCTCGGGGTGAGGCCGACTGCTCTCTCCCCAGCCCCCGAGAGCCTGATGCAGGCCCTGGAGGACCTGGACTACCTGGCGGCGCTGGACAACGACGGGAACCTGTCGGAGTTTGGCATCATCATGTCCGAGTTCCCCCTGGACCCACAACTCTCCAAGTCAATCCTCGCGTCCTGCGAGTTTGACTGTGTAGACGAGATGCTGACCATCGCTGCTATGGTAACAGGTACCCAGGAGTCTTCTTTTGTGAATCTGCACGGCTAGAGCTTTAGATGAGATCAGGTTGAAGTGAGAATATTTTAATAGATGGAAAGGTAGAAAATTATAACAATTATCTTAGTATGAAAAAGCCTAAATCATAGCTAGTGAATTTCTTAATCTGACAGGTGAAAGCACACCAGATTAGCTTTTGCTGAAGTCAGCACAGATCAAGAAAAATTTGAAGAAATGTGTCACTAGACATGTTCTGCCCACATGATGATGTGTGTGCGTGGCTTTACTTCCCGCACCTCTGTCCCTTGGTCTGTGTGCTTGAAGTTATGCTTTAAAGGCAGACAGACCGAAGGCTGTGCGGCACGAGAACCTGGGTTCTAATCCTGCGCCTGCACCGCCCTGGGAGCGCCCGCCCCCACTCCCGCTGCAGCACAGCCGTGTGACCAGCAGACTAAGAAAGACAAACAGAAACAAGGAGACACACACATGACAACCCCGAGCCCCTTTGGTGCCCGAGTAAAAGGGAAAACCAGTCAGTCAGAGTAAGACTGGCAGCTACAAGCCCGAGAGCTGTGCTGCCGAAATGTCTCCTCACTGCTGCCCTGGCCCCTTTTGTCTTCGAGCTCCCAGCTGCTTCTCACATCTGCCGCGTGGAGCGGAGGAGGCTGCCCTGACTTGTTGGAAGACATTTCTACATCCCGAAGGCGATCACTTTACCCTCATCAATGTTTACAAGGCCTACCAGGACGCAGCTCTGAGCTCCGCCAGCGAGCGTAAGTGGTGCTTGATTCTCAGGGTCACCCGCGGAGCCCCCTTCCTTCCCCCAGGAAGCTGAGTAACTGGTCAAACACCCTCTCTGGGCCTGGTCACGGCGGTGGAATGGGCTTGAGGCCCTCAGTGCACCCGTAGGTCTCTGCCGAGCAGAGAAACTCACTCCTGCTCCCAGAGCTCTGGCAGCTGCGGGCTGTGGGGCGTGGGCGGGCCAGGACTGGAACCCAGCGTTCAGCTCGGCCGTGTTCAGAGGGAGCTGCTGGGGGCAGGATGACACCGGGAGACTTGCACAGCTCTTGCCTCTCGGATTTTTGGGGAGAAAACAAGGACGTCCCATCTCTTGGTGCCCTGGGTCACAGCTGTGCTCACTGCTGTCCACAGCTGGCACATCCCTGCTGGATGGAGAGGCTATGGGGCAAAAGCAAAACAAACCCCCTCCAGATAACAGTGGAGGACAGGCCGGTGCTGAGATGCTGGGGAGAACAGGGCTGGAGCTTGGCAGAGGGAAGCAAGGGCAGACGAGGGGAAGCGGGAGCGGGTGGGGGACCGGAGTCCTGAAGCATGGAATGGTGCCTGCAGTAGCGGATGAGGCAGAAGTTACACGGGGCGGGCCATTCGGCAGCATCTTTGAGAGCCGGCAGGATGGGGGCCAGGCGCATGCTCTTGTTGCTCTGAGTGGTCCTGCGTGGACAGGACAGGGCCCACCATGCCAAGGCCACACACTGGTCCACAAGGTAACTGTAGGTGGCAAGAAAGAGTGACTTCAAGCTGCACCAGGCGCAGATATTTTAATGTACCCTTTGCAGCAGGTTAGCTTAACTCTAATGTAATTCCCAGATCCACCAGAAGTAACCCTTCTCTTATAATGAACTAGAGGCCCGGTGCACAATCAGGGCCAGGGAGGGACCACGGGAGGGCTTTTGGGCGTGACTTGCCCAGTCTCAATCGGCCAGACCCTAGCACCAAGCTAACCTTCCGGTCGGAGCATCAACCTACCCCCCCACCCTCCCCACCCCCACCCCCCCCAGTCAGTGCGCATCATAGCTACGGGTCGAACAGTGGCTTAGGCTTTTACATACAGAGATAGAACATGTGTTCCCTAGACCAGAGGACTGTCCACCGTGAGCCCCTCCTGTCCTGCTCTGATTAGCTGGGACCATGCACATCCTGCTGCGCACAGCAGATAAACGAGGACTCAGGCAGTGCCCTCTGCCCGTGAGCCAGACAGGCGACAGCTTCCGGTCCACGCTAGGAGCATGTGGCCTCCACAGTGCATGGGGCCGTGGAACCCCCTGAACCCGCTGGCCAGTGCAGGTTCTTCCTGGCAGCGCCACAGAGGGCCCACCTCGCTGCCCCAGAGGTCCCTGTCCTTGCTGCCTCCCCGCACGCACCATGTGACCTCCCAGGTCAGGGAAGCAGGGGAGAGCGCCTTCCTGGCCAGGCCCTTGCAGACCCACCGCGACCCTGACCTCCGTGCCCTCCCCGCAGACTGCGTGGAGAAGTGGTGCCACGAGCGCTTCCTGAACTGCGCCGCCCTGAGGATGGCGGGTGCCATCCGCGCCGAGCTCGTGGACATCGTCCGGCGGATCGAGCTGCCCTACGCAGAGCCCGCGTTCGGCTCCCAGGAGAACACGCTGAACATCAAGAAGGCCCTGCTGTCCGGCTTCTTCATGCAGGTGAGGACGGCCGCCTCCACGGGCCCTGACCCCCGGGCAGGCGCTCCCTCTCGGTGATCACTTCACACTGAGGTTCACTTTAAAACACAACAAAAGCCCTGATGCGACTTCGTATTTAAATACACTTCCCTCAGGCATGAAGGGCTCAGCCAGAACACACAACGCTGTCCAAAGGGCAGGGGAGGGGCAGACCGGGCTCTGAGCTGTTGGCGAACCCGCTCACATTTAGGGGTGAATAACGCCCAGCAAAGAGAGAAGCGCCTCCTTCGCTCCTCACCGGGAGGCTCTTAGAGGGCGTCAGAGACGTGGGTCTGACACCCCCTCCCCACCTGTCGCGGCCCCCTGGAGGCCCGACATCTCAGCTCAGAGGTCCTCGTCCCTGCGGGAGGTTAGGTCCTGGCGTCACCGGGTCCTGAGAACTAGACGAGCGAGGCCACGAGGGGTGCCGCACTTGCTGTTCGAGAGCAGCCTTACTCACGAGCAGACATCACCCACTGCAGCGCCCCTGCCCGTCCTACTTCGCTATCGGAAATAGGACGCATGGGTGGAACTCTGGTCCTAAGGCTCCCGAGGAAGAGACCCTTTGGGGCTTAAACCAAGCGCGTGAGTGCTGACCACAGTAACGGTCTCTCTGACCACGCCGCCTCTAGATCGCCCGGGACGTGGATGGGTCGGGCAACTACCTGATGCTGACGCACAAGCAGGTGGCGCAGCTGCACCCGCTGTCCAGCTACTCGCTCGGCAGGAAGACGCCTGAGTGGGTCCTCTTCCACAAGTTCAGCATCTGCGAGAACAACTACATCAGGATCACGTCCGAGACCTCCCCGGAGCTGTGCGTCCCAGGGAGAGGGGTTCCTACGCCTTAGGCTCCGGTAGAGGTTTCTACTTAGCGATCCCTGCAGACAGGCCCTGCCTGAGGCCGCAGCACAGAGGCTCCGTTACAAACACAAAGCAGCAGGCCTCTGACCAGGAGCCGGCAGGGGCAGGCCTTGAGGAATAAGCTCAGCCTCTCTCAGCAGATGAGCCCGAGCCTGAGCTGGGGGGGTAAGGGGGGACTGAGGATAGGCAGCGGCCAGCGCGGTGGGGCTGATGGTTTATGCCGAGTGCAGTACTGAAAGCAGCTGGAGATTAAGAAGGGTGGCATCTCATGGACCTAAAGATCCCTCTGGCTGCCAAGTGAACGGGTGTGGAGGGGCAGTGGGGGGAAGGGACTGGCCTCTCGGAGGCTGGCACAGTGCCGGGTCTGTTCTGAAGGTCCCTCCACCACGTGGGCAGAGTGATGCTCTGGCAGGAACCAATGGAAAGCGACAGCTGTCCACTCAGCTGGACATGGGGTGGTTTCGTTAGGAAGAGGGAGAGGCAAAGGCCCTGCTCTTACCACCCAGAGTTCTCCAAGCATCAGATCTGATCCTTCGCACTGGATGGCTCTGAGGGGAAGTACAGAGTCCCTGGTGGTCAGAGTGGTGGCCTAACACTGGAGAGCCAGCGGCCCTAGAAATGCCAGGGGGTTGGTTCTGTAAAAATAACAGCGGGCTGAGGCTCGGAGGAGCCCACGTTACATGCCAGCCTATGGATTCTGCAGGCGGGGAAGGGCTCGGGCACGCTCGCTGTCTCCCACCAATAACACTATTTCTTAACACAGGTTTGTGCAGCTGGCGCCCCAGTACTACTTCAGCAACCTGCCCCCCAGCGAGAGCAAGGACATCCTGCAGCAAGCCATGGACCGCCTGGCCCCCGCCCCCGCCCCGAAAGGGGAGCAGACGCCCTGCGAGAAGTGCCCTGAAACTACTGAACAAAGGTGCGCCCTGCAGTGACGCCTCAGAAGCTCCCAGAGCGCCACGCGCCGTGAACGCCCCGTCGGCCTGCGGGGCCAGCGCCGGGCAGCAACTCACGGGAGGACAGCCTCTGAGCCGCACAGGAGTCTTGAAACAAACTCATATTTTGTATATTATTTAAAAATAAAACATAGACGTTTTTATTGAGTTCTTTCAATAACTGCTCCACGTTTTTCTTCTTATGGGGAAGGTTTTTAATCAAACGTTCATAATTTGACCAAAAATTTTTTAAACACTATTTTGTAAATGTGTCACAGACACAGGCGACAGAACCCTACTTTGTGTAGAGAAACTAAAGCTAAATAAAGTCTCGAGTTTTTCAGTAAAACTCCACTGGGTTTTCTGGTGATTTTACAAACGCAGCACGCCCTCTCGGCGGGAAGCGGCTAGACAGCCAGGTGCTCCTCCAGCGCCGCCATGATCTCGCCCATCCTGTCACACGGGACCAGCATGACGGTGCGCAGGGGCTTCATTGGGACGTCGTCGAAGGACCACCTGCCGCCCAGACACGAGTCGCTCTCCTCCTGCACTGAGTAGCTGAACGTCAGGACGGCCTTCTGAACCACACAAACACCGTGAATAAGCAACACGCACTCCATCGGCAGCAAATACTGTTTGACACGTTTCCATAGGAACGGGGGCTGAAGGAAGCCCGAAGGGACACTTGGCAGAAGGCACCTCCAGGAGGTGAGCCAGCAGCCGGTGACACTGAGCTACCGCCCACTTACACTCTGTCTACCACTCTCACGTCACTCCTACTCACAACCTGTGACAGAGGGACAGGAACAGGCACAACACTGGACATCTAACAAGACCCTGCAAATGCAGGCCTTCCCACCGCCCCAGCTCCTCCTCCGCAGAGCTGCTGTGGACGAAGGGAAGCTTGCAGAACCAGCCGTGTTCAAACCCACACACACCCTGAGATGCAGGGCGTAGCCTCAAAATTTCATTCCCACTGTCTCCTTCCTGAAAAGGCCCAGCGCTGCCAGTGTTGACTGGGAGTCTCCGGAGAAATACGCGGCGGCGGCCACCCCAGGAGAGGGCCCTCCTCGGAGGCTCACTTCTGGGGAGGGCTGCACGGGGAGGGTATTCTCTCTCTGGCTGGCCATCGCGCACCAGCTACCTTGACAGGAAGGGAAGTGCCAGAAGCCCACTAACGGGATGACATCCAGGACGAGGGGCAGAGCGGCCCGGGAGCCAGATGGGAGGGCAGGGGTCCACCCGACGGGCTGGGACCTCAGCTGATGGCTGTCCCTCAGACTCAATGTCCACCTTGAACACAGGCTCATCCTTCCTCCCGGAGGGGTTGGGAGCCGCAGCTCTCGCAGCACATCATCAGCCTGATCACTACCAGCAGGTTCATGATTGTCTCCTCCCACACTCGTCACCAACAGTGGGGCTGGGGCGGTGATGACCTGTGAGAACCTAGTGCGCGCCAGGCACTGTGAGCTGCTAGCAGCTGGGGACAAGAAGGAAAACCAAGTGGCCACACTCGAAAGACTGATACAAAATGGGAGAGTCCTGACTTATTGTCAAGAAAATCCCTATATACCAGGGAACCTTGGTTCTCGAACTTAATTCGTTCCGGAAGGCTGTTGAAGAAGCAACTTGTTTGAAAACCAAATCAGCAAAAGTAAAAAAAAATAAAAATATTCCCAGCACAACTTCCTGATGTTAACAAGGTGAGGTTTAGCAATAAACTGACTCACTCACTCTCTTGTCACCTGAGAGACGCACAACTGATCACATCAGCATGAAAGGGCTGCTGGTTGAGAACCGAAGTTTTGTTCAATAACCGAGACATTTTTATGTGAACAATTTGAGAACCAAATTGAGAACCGGAGGTTCCATCTAAACAAATACATGGAACAAGACCGTCTTACCTCGTAGAAAAATTCCTCCTCTGCGTTCGCAAACATTAACTCATCGTTCTTTTGGCTGCTCTGCTTTTTGGAATTGCCTTTTCCTGCTTCCGCAAACGTCTTGCTGATCAGAAGGTAGAAGTGACACTTCCCACACGGCTTGTTGGTCTTGTGTGCCTCTGCCAGTTCCTTCCTACAAGACACACACAGGTCTGCTGCCGGCCGGTGACACCAGCCCAGCCACACCCAGGCCCAGGGAAGGCAGGGAGGCCGGGCAGGGCTCCTGCTGGGACTCGGCTCCCTGCGCAGACACAGGTCTGACACTTGCCCAGCAGTGAGCTTCAGCTCTGCCGTCTGCACTTCCCACTGTTCTAACAGGGCTTTTCCCAAAGAACAGGGTGACGGATCTCAGATTCCTCAGCATCCCTGCACAAGTTAAAAACACTAAGAACCTGGAGATTTAAAACAGCAAACATGGAATTGAAACACACAAAGGCACACGGCCACGCCCAATGCCATGGGAGCACGTGACTGCTCCAGTCTCCAATCGCGAGTCCAGGACTCATTTCTCCCGCGCTGCCGAAAGCACACAGCAAAGCGCAGACACTAACTCTGCAGTCAGCACAACAGCAAGGAAGCCTCCATTTCCTTCCTGAAAAGCAGGCATCATCCTGTGCATCCAGCAAACAAAATGTAAGGAAACGCGGAACAGCCCACTCAGCCTTTATAGGGGATCAGAAGGCGGCCACCCCCGGGAAATCAGATAAGCTTGAGCTCCAGCTGATCAGGAAAAGACAACACAAACAAAACCCACTAGGAGCTGTGGGGGGGGGGGGGGGGGGGTGCGTAATCCATAAAGGAAAATGGGGAAAAAGTTTCCAGCCTCCAGTTATATTCGCACATTCCCACTAAGGAAACCAGGAGTGCTGAGACCTCAGGAACACGGGGCTGGGAGGGCAGGGGGCCTGTCCGCGTTCTCATCCTCCTCTATTAAAGCACAGGCAATACCGATTCTTAGCTCTTCTTACATGTAAGATGTTCTTGTAAACTTAAAACTGCGTTTAAAAACAAAACCCTGAGAAGCCAGAAATATGGTATGAAGACTATGGTTTCCTTAGTCATAAAACATTCCAATGAAATTTAGAACTTTTACTCAGTTTTTGTTACTGTTGTAACTATTCAGTATTTTTCATGTTAATCTACCAGGGAAGGTGAAAAACTGATCAAATAGGAGTGAAAAGTCTACATGAGACTCACCTACTTTAACACCACTGAACTCTTTAAGGTTACAGACTCGTCAGAATAGCTTTAGTGATTGAAACTGAAAAGCCGATAGTGAGGACCGTGTGCAGCTGGCGGACAAGTGCCCCCCGCCCACCCCCCCAGTCCCGTGTCTGGCCCGGGAAGCCTGCCGGCGGGCGCTTACTGGAGCTGCCGGTGCATGGGCAGCGCGATCTGCGCGGGCACGTTGATGAACCGCTCGCTCAGGAGCAGCCCCACGGGCCGGGCGGGGTCGTTGAAGAGCTTGTCCAGCTGCTCCACCACGCTCTTCTCACAGCTCTTCGCGCAGCCGCTCAGGGTCAGCTCCTTAATCTGCTCCGCACACTGGGTCCCCTGAAAGCAGAGAGCGGGCCTCACTCAGGCCACCGCTTCCGGCAGAACCTGACTGAGCACCAGCTCCTCACAGGGAGGCAGCTGTCACAGCCTCTAGAGCAGCCGCCCTCAGTGCTGACTGCTGTGTGCCTCTCAGGGTAGCTCTGCCTGGAAGGAACCACCACCCATGACCGTGGTGAGAGGGCCCTGGAGGAGCTAGTCCACCTCGGAGATGGCGGAGGGCACTGCAAGCCCATGGAACTCCAGAGTGCACCTGCGCCTTGTGAGGAGGGGAGGCAGCTGGTCTTTACTTTCCACTGGAATCGTCAGTGAGCAGGAAAGAGCGATGAGCACATACCCCGTGACCGTCAGTGTCAGCAGCGCCCTCCCCCCTTCAGGGAGCAGCACAGCCCATCACAGGGCAGCTGCAGGGGCAGCTCCAGCCGCGTGTCAACCCAGCCAGGCAGGGACTCTACACCCAGGAGGGAGGACTTGAACTGGGAACACACCAGTCAAAACAAAACACCTCCGCCCGGCCGGAGTGGCTCGGGGCTTGAATGTTGACCCAGGAACCAGGAGGTCACGGTTTGATTCCCGGTCAGGGCACAGGCCCGGGTGGTGGGCTCGATCCCCAGTGTGGGGCCTGCAGGAGGCAGCCGATCCATGATTCTCCCTCATTATTGATGTTTCTATCTCTCCCTCTCCCTACCTCTCTGAATAAAAATATATTTTCTAAAAAACACAAAAAAATACCTTCACTTGAAAACAGGTTACGTGAGACTGCACAAGTGCACACGCCCTTACAACAACCGTCACCGCCTGACAGAAACACTTCACGTGTGTCACACAAGCCGTCTGGCCTAACGGTGACCACACAGGCGCCCCCAGGGACCCACCTTTCGTTCAGTTAAATTGAGAAGACTTATGAAACCAAAAATCTCATCTTCGTCCACATCGTCATCACTATCTTCTGAAACATCCGTTTGCTATTTTAAAAAGAAAAGGAGTTTTAATTTACACTTGGTTGGGAAGAAACAGGATACCAAGCCTGAAATCTAGGCCTCATTACTTTGTTTAAACACAAACTGTTTTATCACTGTCACCCAGAAAGGCATCCTGGGTAACGGCGGTGTGGCCCCGTGCGCAGCCCTGTGCCTCCCTTGATTACGTGCCTTTCCTCACATTCTGCGTGACCTCTCCTGCCCTAACTTATACGAGTTTTCTTTACTAGATTCTCAACATGTTACAAGTCCAGAACAGCTAAGGCCTCATGAAATAAACTGTTCAGTCCGTTTTCTGAACGATTTGGCAGGAGCCGGCCCTGCTCGTCTCTCCGTGGGTCCACACGCCTCACCAAGTCCTGTGCTGCCGAGCGCGGGCCAGCCCTGGCTCCTAAGAAGGTGACTGATGCCCGAGGGCCGCCTATTCTCAGGCAGAGACAAAGAGGCGAGAACGAAAATGGCAAATCCAGAAAACAGCTAAGGATGAAGAGCTTGGCTCCCACGGAACCTCCTGGCTGAGCTGCATCACAGGTTACTCTCCAGGGCCGGCCTGCTCACCAGGTCCAGCCTGGAGCGTCCCGGCAGGAAATGCAGTCGAACAGTGAGCTGGGCAAAGGGCTGGGAACAGGACCACACCACCTGACAGCTCCACACAGAGCGCTGGCCACGGGCCACGGGCCACGGGCCACGGGCCACAGCTCTAACACCTTACACTCAGCTACTCACTCCGTCCACCTCCCGCCCTATGAGGTGGCGCACGCATCATCCGTGTGCAGACTGACAGCGGTATAGAAGGTCTTGTAAGACTGTGCCTTGCACAGAGGGCCACAAGGACATCGCCCATCCCTCCTCGTCTGACAGTGACCCAGACACTCCTCCCATCAAGAGGTGGGGGTCTCTGCGCCCTCCCCTGGGACCCGTGTGGGGCTTCCTGTTACTGAAAACGCCCAAGTCTCCAGCTGCTGCTCAACAGCGCATTTGCATTATTACAGGCAGATCAAACTCGAAATGTACAAGTCCAAACGCGGGTTCCCCTCCTCACCTATCGTCCTCCATGTCGCCGTCCTGGTTGCTTGAGCCAGACCCTCGCACTCCTCTCCCTCTCCACCGCCATTACCCGCACTGCGGCACTTACTAACCCAGTTTCCCTGCTCCGATCCGACTGAAGCATCCAGCCACTGGCAATACATCAGGAGGGACTTCCCAGGATCAAGAACCCACTGAATCAGAATGAGCGCAGCTGCCTGCTTACCTTAATCACACTCCCGATGTGGTTCTGCTGAATTAAGAGATTCGTCAGTTCTGCAGTGTTGACAGGTGCCTTGAGGAAAAGCTAAGAGAAAAACAATAATTTAAGTTAAAGTTAAAGTGCGACATCTAAAATTACTTCTAATTTCCATATTCAAATAAAAACCATGACATTCCAATGATTTGACCAGGAAGGTGACTAGGGCACTAACGGCTCTACTGGGAGCGGGAGCCGTTTCCATGGACAAAGGAACATGTAGAAGCAGCAGATGCTGCCAGGATACGACTTCTACGTGAGAATTCCTCTCCTGAGAAAGCTGGGCTGTGACGCAGGAAAAGACAGAACAGTGGCCCAAGGAATTAGCAGATGAAAGTGTTGCAGGAGGAAGAATAGTCAACTATGTTCATGGAGGAAGGGGCTGGGAGCAGAAGCACAGAGAGAAGTTCTTCCTTCTGGGCCGGGACCAGGGCCGGGGGAGGGAGGAGGGAGGGAATTCTAAAGCAGAGCGGAGCGTGCCGACAGAGCTGGTGCTGACGGGCCGGGATTTTCTTAGAAGAGCAAGTTTATGCATAAGGAGTAAAAAGCAATACCTGCTGCAGTAATTTCTTAATCCCGTCATAATCGTTGTCTGAGATGGAATAAGCTTCAAAGTCAACATTCACTTCCTGTAAATAACACACAAAACAGATGATCACACAGCACGCTCCAGACGGCAGGCATCGCGTCCCACTGCAGCTTTTCTCCTCCCGCGACCTCCGTGCTTCCTGGCTCTCACTCTAGCTACAGAACATGCCAGGAAAAGGACAAGAAGAAAAGGTTACATAAGAGCTGTAACTGTCCAGCCGACAAGACGGGCGAACATTATCAACGCTGCATCCGCACAAATTACAAAACCCCTCATACCACCTCCTCACTGGACACAAAGCCCGGAAGAACATACACTCGGCCAGGTTTCCGGTTGGAAAGCCAGCTCGGGGTGAGCCGCAGGCGCACAGGAGAGCTCACCTGCCTGCAAGAAGAGGGAGCAACCAACAGGCTCACTTCACCAGCCCTGCACTGCCTGGGCCTGGGTTCCGCTCCCGGCCCTGAGGCTCTGCTTCCTTCACTTGGCAAACAGGTGCCGCCTGGTCCCACCGCTTCCCAAGCACTGTGCCGTGCTCAGATGGAAAGGGGAGGACTGAAGGGCCCTGCCTTCAGAAAGTAGGCGGACATACAGACATTGAGTAAACACTCAAGTCAACGTACAGCGGCACCTACTCGGGCTTTAAGACCCGGCGCACGGTGCTGTGCCAGCTTGGAAACGGGTCAGGGCCGGAAAGGCGTCCCTTAGAGAAGCGACATGTGAGATCTGAGCTGGGAACCGAGGACGGGAGAGTCCCTGGCCCGGGGAACAGCACCTGCGGGGGCTCCGGGGCAGGACTACAGGGACTAACAGGTGTGTAGCTGGGTCCCTGATCTGCATTTGCAAAACCACCACGACACCAGCTAGGAGGTGACGCCACTGAAATGTCCCACAAACAAGTGAAGGGAAGGATCACGTCACACCACAAACAACACCTGAGGTGCTTTCAAACGCTGCCCAGGATCGACCCTGGGGCCCCCGGTAAGTGACGCACTGACCACGGGCTCTGGTGAAAAGTGCACTTGCACGCACTTCCGGTGGTGCCGGTGCTGGGATGAGGGTCTGGGCTGGCGGAGACCGCAGAGGTCTGACTTGTGCCGTCCGTGCTGACGTGCACGGGTTTAAGCACCCGGGGCTGCTGCCTCACCCCAAGGTCCTTGCACAGCCTTGGACCCCGCCTCGGAAGTCAGCTCGGCCGGATGATGTGATCAGCAAACTAAACCAAATAACAAACTGTCGTGACTCGGGTCTGGATGTCGTCCTTTAAAATATTAAACAAACTCCTGTCCGGCTGGCCTTTGTGGCTGAGCATCCACCCGGGAACCTGGGGATCACGGTTGGATTCGCGGCCAGGGCACAGGCCCGGGATGCGGGCTCCATCCCCAGTGGGGGGCGTGCGGGAGGCGGCCGACCCGTGGTTCTCTCTCATCATGAACGTTTCTCTCCACCTTGCTCTCCGAAACCAAGGACACAAATATAGACCTTTTTAAAAATGACGTCCCTGAAAGCCAGCGCTGTGTCGGGTTTTCCTCTGGGGAGAAGGGGGAGACCCGGCCGGGTGTAACTTTTGAGAGTCACGCTGCGGCTGCGGCGCGAGGAGACCGAATGGAACCGGAGTGAGCCCTTTGCGCCCGCAGCCCCTCGGGGGCAGGAGAGTCGCTGCGCCCAGCGCCTCGCACACTCATCGGCCGTGGCTGCCAGGAAGCACGCTCCCAGCTGGAAGCCCAACTGGGGTCGCGGGCGCTGCTCACCTCGTCCACGACCTCGTCGTCTTCATCCTCTTCCTCGTCGCTGTCTTCGTCGTCGTCGTCCTGGTCCTCCACTTCCTCGTCCTCTTCTTCCTCGTGGCACGGGACCGGGTCGCCGAGCGTCTGTGGGGTCCCCCCGTCCATGGCGCGCCGCTTGGGCCGGGACGCCATGCTGCCGCGCTCACTGCGCCTGCGCAACCGCCGCCCTGACGTCCTTACGCCCTTCCGGACCCACCCACCCCTCCAGGCCGAGGGGGTGAGAAACCATGTAGAACCTCAGCGCTGAGTCGGCGACAACCCCAGCGTCCCTGCGAGATTCTACGGCCATGATGCATGACGGTCAGGTCCGGTTCTGGGTCCTGTCTTGCCCTTTCCATCCTCCCTCCACCTCCCTTACCCGCCCCCCAAGGCCCGCCCCCCCTGGCTCAATGGTTCGGCCCATCTCTGCGGCTGCGCCCCGGAGGCCTGGGTGTCGTTGCGCATGCGCGAGCTCCAGCTGTGAGCGCCGCGGGGCAGCAGGCGGTGGTACCCGGGCCTGGCGCGGGCCGTCGCCATGGCAGCGCGGGCCACGTGGTGAGGGGTCCGCCCACCGCTGGTCGCTCCGGTATCTCACAGCCTCAGGTTGGGATCGCGAGACCCCGCCCGCCTGGGCGACTTCCTAGGGCCGGCGCCGGGCTGGGCAGGGCCCCAGCTCCTACCTTTCGGGCCTCACCAGCCCGGCGAGGTAGGTGTCGCCGCCCACCGTACGGACGAGGACACAGGCCTCCGGCCCTGCGGGGGCCCACCCACCCGGGGCCCACCCACCCGGGGCCCACCCACCCGGGCACTAGCGAGTGCAGGACTAGTCGGGAGCGGAACCGTGGCCGCCGCAGGCCTGAGTGTGGGCCGTGGCCTGGGGTAGTGACGGACTCCAATGGAAGGGCCCCGGGTCGTGCAGGTCCCCACGCCAGGCCCAGCCCGACCGCGCGGGCGTCCCCCAGCACAGGGGTGGCTCGGCCTCGCCAGGCACCGAATGCCTGCCCCTAGCGGACCCTCCTTAAGCCCATTTCCTGACCTGAAAGTTTGCTGAAAAGCAGGGGTGGGCCGGCAATGCCTCCGGGCCAGTAGGGAAATCCGAATTGCAGACCAGAGCCTGTTTGGGGAGGACAGAGTGGCGGGCACTGGGGCCAGCTCGGTGTACCTGAGGCTGCAGCCACGTGGGAAGGGCCCGGTGCGGTCAGCTTTTTACATGTTAAGAGAACCTGGAATTCTGGATGTTTCTTTTTATGATGGGGTTGCCTGATTGCAGAGCCTATGCCTTTATGGTGTGTGTGTTTTAATTGAGCTCAGAGAGGGAGAGAGGAATAGAAATACCAATGATGGGAGAATCATTGATCGGTGCCTCCTGCACGCCCCCTACTGGAGGTCGAGCCCGCAACCTGAGCATGTGCCCTGATCAGGAATTGAACTGTGACCTTGACTCTCAACCACTGAGCCAAACCTGCCTGGGGAGTGAATTCTGGATTTTTACAAGAAATACCTTGAGTTTTACAACCTTAAAATATTTAAATAAAATTCATTGACCAGCTAGGTTTACCCCCAGGCTAGCAGTTCGCAGCCCATTGTAAAGACAATTAGAAAGGAAGTCAGTCATTAGAGATGACATCCATTTCTTTTCTTTTTTTTTTTCTTTGTAAAATGAGGAGAGTGGGCTGGGTGCATGTGATTCTAAATATGTACTCAGCTGCCCTAGCAGTGAGGGCCCGACAGCAGCAATAATGAGAACTTAATTTCATGTTCATTTGCTTACTCAGTTGCTTAGATACAAAGCAGTTCATTTTGAGCTGTGTGCCATGTATATCTCAATAATGAAGGGCCCGGCCGTGTGGCTAAGTGGTTAAGCGTTGACCTATGAACCAGGAGGTCACCGTCTGATTCGGTCAGGGCCCATGCCCGGTTGCGGGCTTGATTCCCAGTGTGGGGTGTGCAGGAGGCAGCCAGTCAATGATTCTCATCATAGAGGTTTCTATCTCTCCCTCCCTCTCTGAAATCAATGCAAGCATGTGTTAAATAATAAAGGAATACCAGATGAGCATCGTTATGTTAATCTTGGCACACATTTGTGAGTACTGCCTTAGTGGTTATTCTTACATGTGAAATTACAGAAAGGACAGGAAGTACATAAGGCTTTAAATATGTAGCGACAAATTGTGTTCTAGATTGTTAGAAAACTTTTGAAAGATTACTTCATGATACTGACAACACTTATAAAACATCATTTAAGAAGTAGAGAAGTTGCCCAGCTGGTGTGGCTCAGTGAGTGAGCATTAACCTATGACCCAGGAAGTCATGGTTCGATTCCCGGTCAGGGCACATGCACGCCCACGTTGCAGGCTCCATCCCCAGGAGCGGGCATGTAGGAGGAAGCCAATCAATGATTCTCTCTTATTGATGTTTATCTCTCTCTCTCCCTCTCTGAAATCAATAAAAATATGTTAAAAATGTAGAAAAGTCAAAATTATTTCCTAAGGAGCTTACAAGCAAACAATTTAGTATATTTTGAAATGGAAGTAAGTACTCATTTCCCTCCAATATGAGACTCCCTTTTCTCTACCTATTGATACAACCCAGAATTTGCACTTCTCCCCCTGAGCCTTACGTGTGGCTGGGACGCTGGCTCTCCCCTGGGCTGTCATCTGCCTTCCAAGCACTATCAAGTGCCAGCAGCTGTCCCTCGGCCTTATCAGTGACAGGGTCTCCGCAGGAACCAGCCCGTTCACGCTGAGTCAGTGCGCGGGGCCACCTTCCCCCCTCCCCCGTCCACCCACGTGGCCCAGGAGGAGTCTGAGGTCTGATTAAGGCTCGTGTCCCCGCTCTGTCACAGCGCCCTGTACGGCCCGCCAGGCAGTGATGAAGGTTCTTTTGCTGAAGGACGCTAAGGAGGAGGGTGGCCAGGACCCGTACGTCAGGGTAAGTGCCCGAGGCGCCGGGCCCCGGAAACAGCGCTCACCCATGAAGTGGGGGTGGGGGGAGCCCGGAACTGAGACGTGACCCAGAGCCCTTGCCCTCCTTCAGGCAGCCTGGCCAACCCAGAACCTGTTCTTTCGTCTGCAGGAGTTAGGATTGCACGGACTGGAAGCCACTTTGATCCCTGTTTTGTCATTTGAGTTTCTGTCCCTTCCCACTTTCTGGGAGAAGGTAAGGTCTGCCGGTGTCAGCACCGTGATGGCTACGTGCGACACGTTTGGTTTCTGTAGAATCCGTGCCTGCCCCAGCCCAGGGCTTTCTTCCTTCCCTCATTTTACTGCCCAACTTCTAAAGTGGGCGGCACCCCATCAGCTCCAGATCCGGCCCCAGATCGGCTGTGGGTCACCTGAGCCTCCACCAGTTCCCCACCCTGACCTGGAGCCGGCGGGAGAGCCGGTGGGGAGGGCGCTGCTCGCAGTTCAGACCTGCCCTCTGACCCCACCCCTGACCTCTGCAGGCGGCCTGTAGATAACCCCGCCCCTGACCTCTGCAGGCAGCCTGTAGGTAACCCCGCCCCTGACCTCTGCAGGCGGCCTGTAGGTAACCCCACCCCTGACCTCTGCAGGCGGCCTGTAGGTGACCCCACCCCTGACCTCTGCAGGCGGCCTGTAGGTGACCCCACCCCTGACCTCTGCAGGCGGCCTGTAGGTGACCCCACCCCTGACCTCTGCAGGCGGCCTGTAGGTAACCCCACCCCTGACCTCTGCAGGCGGCGTGTAGGCGCTCCTTTCCCTGCAGTGAGGGAGGCCCAGCGGGCAGCTTGGCCCAGGCCTCTGGCACACGAGAGGCAGTGCTGAGGCTCCAGACCAGGACCTGTCCCCGCAGCCTCGGCTCTGCCGCCCGGGCAGGAGGGACCCACACTGCCCAGTCCAGTGAGGCCAGAGGTTTCAGGTTAAAGGCGCAGTGCCTCGCAGCACCAGGCCCACCTCCTGTCCTCCGCACCCAACCCGCCCCTCGCTCTCAGAAGAGCCTTCCTGGTTCCTCGTTCCGTTTGAGCTGAATATCCGGTGTTCATTGAACTCAGCGGATATCGAGTGGCACCTGCCACGCTCCGTGCCCTGGGTTGCGGGCGAGGCCCCGTTGGCTTGCTTTTCCACAGCCAGCTTTAAAAGGGAACAAGAGACTTCACCATTGAGGTCATTTCTAGGACCTCAGCTCAGAAAAGTCCTCCAGTTTCTGCAGCAGCCTCTCCTTCACCACCAGCCCGTCTGCCCGTGAGGGAGGGGTTCTGGCTAGGCAGGCAGCACGCCACGTCTCAGCCTCTCCCGCCTCTGAGTTTAACCCGAGGGGTGAGAACAGCCCCATCTCCCAGGCACTTGCACAGACTCCGTGCAGGGGTGTACACAGCAGCCCGGAGTCTGCTCCGAGGAAAGGGGCAGCAGGTTGTATCCCGTTGTCTTTGAAAGTCAGGGCTGCAGCCTGGACACCACCCCAGTACATAGTCCAGTTTTATTACAGATACAGGTCGAGTCTGCCTCCGGCCTGCACCCCCTGCCCAGGCGGGGTCCCAGTGCCCTGCTCTGGCCGTCACACCCACACCCTACGTAGCACCTGCTATCTCTCCCCTTGACTCTGAGCCACTTGAGGGAGATGCTACAAATAATGAATTCACTTAGAACAGGGCCAGGCACACACACCCAGCTCTCAGTAAGTGCTGAGTGGCAGGGGGGTGGACGGATAAATGGATGGATAGATGGACGGATGGATGGATGGACAGAACGGATTAGTTTGCCCACCACTCATGTGAGCATTTGGAATTCTGGGTAATGTGGAGCTCATCACAAAGTGCCTCTGGGTTCGGTGTGCAGCTGTCGCGTCCGGAAGGCTACGGAGGGCTCATTTTCACCAGCCCCAGGGCAGTGGAAGCGGTGGAGCTGAGCCTGGAGCAGGACGGGAAAAGCGAAGGTGAGGGCAGGATTCCTCCCGTTGGCGATACTGGATTCCAGAAATCAGGTTTGAACACTGCAGTGACTCTTAGCTCTAAGGTATTTAGGTACCGAGTTATTGTCATGTTTGTGTAGCCTTTGGAGGGAGCAGAAAATGGTCTTCTGTAAGCGATTCTTGCTGTCCCACACAGGACACGTCCACCCCTTAGCCTTCAGACCTAGCCGCCAGCTTGGTCTGTCCGATGGAACACCTTCGTGCTAACGTTTATGGAGTGCCTACTGTATACCAGGCTCCATCACTTTGCAGTCATCATCTCCTCTAACCCAGGGGCACACACCCTGTGGTCCTTGTTTCACAGATGAGAAGACTGAGGCTTGGCAAGAGTGGGCACTAGTCCAAGGCCATGAGCCAGTCAGCCAGGCCTGGCCGTCAGAGTGATGAGTGGAGGCAGCAGGGTGGTGCTTACCCAAAGGGCTTGCAGTGAGCTGGGCCTGGGCTCGGGGGTCATTCCGACCTTGGTGAGTCCCTGACCTCACTGAGCCTGTTTCCTTGTTGTAAAGTGGCCCAAGGATACCTGCCTCTGTGGCTCCTCCCTTGCACTGGAGCGCGCTAGGGCCTGGGCGGGCGACCCTGCAGATATGAACAGCGTAAGGGAGGCGGGGGGGGGGGGGGGTGTTAGTGTGGGGGGCTGCTCTTTAGGTTCGTGTATTACTAGGTTGCCTTGCTCCCAAGGTTTAGGATGAACAGGCGTCTGGGGCAGCAGCCCTCATGGCCTCTGGTCTTTGCGACACACGTGTAATTTCATGTTTTCCAGTCTGGAAAAAGTCTCTGAGAGAAACATGGAACGCTAAGCCGGTGTATGTGGTTGGAAATGCCACGGCTTCTCTAGGTAAGCAATCGGGGCAAAAATAAACACCAAAACCATGACCGTGATGTTGTGATTCATAATACAGGGTGTCCCCCAAAATGTATACACACTTTACAGCTGAAGCGTATTTAATAAACTCCGCCTTTGTGACTTCTGTGTGCATGCACATGTTTCGGGACACCCTGGCATTTAGTCTTCGTCCCTGCTCCTGCACGGAGCTCCCAGAGCTTGATGTTTCCAGGCGATGAACAGAGAGGTGTCTGGTTATTCATAACAAGCCCCCGGCACCTCCGCCCGAGTTCATGATTCACTTTAATGCGCTGACTTCTGGGAGGCCCTCAAGCTGGGGCAGCTTGTTGCCGGGGAACCAGCCCGGGGTTAGAGCAGGAACTTTCAGCTCCTGGGCCTCCGCACCGGCTCGGCTCCGGGGAGAAGCGCAGGGCTGGGGTTGAGCCGACCCCGTGCAGGAGGCTCAGGTGGCTCCCGCGGCCAGGTGCGCAGGGAGAAGCACACAGACGCCCTGTGGTGCCAGCAGGGGTGGAGGGGGTGGGGGGGCCAGCTGTGCTGTGCGGACCTGCGTCCCCGTTGAAGGTCTCAAGGTTCTTGGTGCACTGAGCCCGTCCAGACCCAACCGAGGCCAGCACCGCAGCACAGGCAGGGCCTGGTTCCTGGACAGAGTCACAGCGGCCTGTGACTTCTCCTGGGCTCAGCGCTGGTCATGATGTAAATGAAAGGCTGGCGTGTTGACCTTAGAGCAGCAGCTTGGCATTTGCCAGGCTCGTGTGAGCACCTCCTTTCTCAGAGACGGTCCACATTCCTCGCTGACCCCGCCGCCCGGGCCCAGCCCTCCTCACCATCCTCAGCGGGGTGACCAGTGCTCCGCCCAGGATGGGCTGTAGCGACAGGAGGCTCACGAAAGTGGGGGACGAAGCCCTCCCCCTAAATCACCTGCAGGCCTGGCAGCTGGTCAGCACCTTCCTCCCTCCCGCCACGTCAGCCCCCACCTTCCTGGAGGGGCTGGCTCGCTGCCTCCCAGGATGAGGCCTCTCCACTGTCCGCAAATCCTAAAGGCTCCCACCTGACCCAAGACCACCTCCCTCTGGAGTGCACCGAGAGGGGAGAGGGGAGAGGGCCGGCAGCTTGCTTCCATCGCCTGCAGCCGTAAAGCAGCCCCATCTGCTGTGTCTCCCCCACGGACACGCTCAGTGGGGCTCAGAGAAGTTGGAGCGTCACCCAGAGCCACAGGCCCAGTCCTGAGGCCAGGACTGGCACCTCCATCAGAGCAGCCCGGCCCCCTCCGCCAGGCCGGCCTCGGGGACTGTGGAGCACACACCTTGGTGTTCGCTCATTAAGGGCAGCCCGGGAGCAGAGGGACTCGCAGCCATGGGAGACGTGTCTGCTGTTTTCCAGTGAAGAAACTTGGCCTGGAAGCCGAAGGAGAAAGCAGTGGGAACGCCGAGAAGCTCGCGGAATGGATCTGTTCCAGTGAGTAGGAGAGGCCCCAAGTGTGGGTCTCGGAACCGCCCTGCGGGGGGTGGGGGGCCCTGGGGCCTTCTCCGCAGTGTCAGCCACCCCTGGGCCCTTGTCTGCGCTTGAGACCCAGCCCACTCCACTGCCCTACACCAGGGACTAGAGGCAACGCGAACTCAGCACAGAGCATTCGGGGATGGGGCTCGGGCTGGGCTGGGCTGAGGCGGGTGTGTCCACAGGGGAGCCGCCTGCACTGCCTCTGCTGTTTCCCTGTGGAGCCCTCAAGGGAGAAGTGCTGCCGCAGATGCTCAAGGACAAAGGTATCAGCGAGCTCTTCCCCTTGCGTCTCGGGGTCCGCGAGAGCCTTCCGGGGTGCCGTGGTCAGGGCTGCAGAGACTGCAGGGACCGGGCCCGCGGGGCGTGAGGCGCATGCGGCCACTGCGTGTCACAGGAGGAGGTGGAGGCGACCTGGGCAGGGTTCGCACGGAGAGGACATCCAGGATGACCCACGAGGGCGGGCGCATCCTGCAGCTCACCCTCCAGGCTCGCTCCCCTCCGTCCTGGCCCCGGGCTCACTGTCCGGAACCAGCGTGCCCTGGAGCCTCTAACCCAGACAGGAATCCCGCGGTGCTGGCAGAGGTCACCTGCACACCTTCTCCTGTCACAGCGGGTCTGGGCCGGGGGGCGTCAGCACGGTGTGGAGTGTGACCTTCAGGGTGAGACCGAACGGACGGCATCAGGGTGCGAGCCAGGGAGGCACAGCCTCTGAATCGGCTCTGGCCTGTGAAATGGGTAGAACAGAGCCCGCCTCTGAGCTGCCTGAGCGTCTGTGAGTAGCACGGCCCTGGCCTCCGAAGCAGCCGAGACCTGTAATGATGACGTCACCCCCCTCGTCCCAGCCGGGCAGCTGTCCACACAGCACAGTCCCCGGGGCGATCGCAGGCCTGTAGCCTTCACCTTCCGGACCCACGGGCGAGACCAGCTCGCGCCGTGTTAGCGGCTGTCTCTGAACACGGCCCGGGGCCCTGGCAGGGCTCGAGGCAACAGGACCAGCAGGGCGTTGGCCTTTGGAACAAGAACAGGAGAAACAGCATGGCCCCGGCGCCCTGGAGGCCACGTATGAGCCAGAGGCCTGGCACGCCTGTTTCTTCCTTGGGTTTGGGGTGAAAGGGTGAGCATTGCTGCTGGTGCTGACACTCTTGGCTCCTCCTGAGAGGTGTTCTGTCCCGTTCGTTTCTGAGCCTGATGCCCAGTGGCCGCCCTGCCTGGGTTCTGTGACTGACACTTATGCTGTCACTTCTGGGCCTCCTCCTCCCTGCAGACCCGGGGGATGTTGAGTCCCCGAATGGAACGGGATCATGAGACCCCCTCAGAACCTAGTCCATCCGTCTACAGCGGGTCCCTGGGGCCCCTGGGGGTCAGTGGCTCATCCAGGAGCACGTGGCCTGGGAGGCCAAGCTGGGGTGCCCGTGGGCTCCTGACTCATGGCCCCTCCCAGGGCAATAGCTCTGTTTCCCGGTTTTGATCGTGTCCAGGGATTCCCATGGAAAGCATCATTGTCTATCGGAAGATCCCCCACCCGGGAATCCAAGTGAACCTGGACAGCTACTACTCCAAGCAGGTGGGCGCCGTTTCCAGGGGGGCTCGGGCATGTGGGCGCTGTGGTGGAGGCAGGGGGCACCGTTTCCAGGGGGGCTCGGGCAGGCGGGCGCCGTGGTGGAGGCAGGGGGCGCCGTTTCCAGGGGGGCTCGCGCAGGCGGCGCCGTGGTGGAGGCGGAGGTGAGGTGTGGCCTCAGCGTGGTTCCCCTCCCAGCTGAGGCCTCGTGGAGGCTTCATCCCTGTCTGTGAGCTGGGAATAGACCGTGTGGTGGCTTCACGGGGCTAAACAGCACCTGAGGCCTGGAAGCCTGAGACGGGGCCTGAGGGTGCTCATAGCAGGGCCTAGGGGCTGTCGGGAGAGGCTGGGAGTCTGGGTGGACTTGGCAGCCGGGCTGCTGCAGGCTTCCACGGGGGAGTGCGAGGGATGGACGTTTTCCAGCCCAGGTTCAGTAGACGCCTTGCAGGTGGACGTGCTGTTGGCCTCCCCAGCACAGGAGGCCGTCTGCCTGCTGTCTGCTCATTTCCGGAAGGAGGGGCTGTTGGCAGGGAGCAGGCTCCACTGCTGCCTGGCTTGCTCGGTGCCTGTGTCCTTGGCCAGGCAGACGGACCGGGGCCGCAGAGCCACCAGGAGCTGTGCCAGCCTCTCGATCGCACCCCCTCTCTAAACCCCCCTCGTCTGAGTCCTCTCCATGGAGGAGCCGTGCCAGCACCAATCGGGGGCCCGCCGGCTGGGGGGCTGCCTGGGGGCTTGGGGGTCCTTGGAGTCGAGCTGGGGGCTTTCTCCCTCAGCACCAGCAAGGCTCTGCTCTGGCCCTCCGCAGGGCATCCCGGCCAGCATCGCCTTTTTCAGCCCCTCTGGCCTCACGCACAGCCTCAAGCACGTTCGGGAGCTCTCCGGAAGCAGCATCGAGCAAATCAAGGTGAGGCACTCGGTGCTTTTGGTCTTTTCAGATTTAAGCTTTTTTACGAACCATCCTGAGTTTCCACGGAGAGTGAAGCACTCCCGACCTGGCGGACCCCCTGGGAGGCCGGGCTGTAGGACCCCAGCCCCGCTCCGAGCTCGCAGCGCCCCCTCCTGGCTGGGCTCTGGGACAGCTCACGGGCCTCTGAGCCCAGTTCCGCATTCGGCTCCGCTGTTGGCATCCGACCCCCTCTTCCATCTAAACACCTTGAGACGAGCTGCTCTAGGCGCTCACCCCCTTCTCCTGTCTTTCACTGGAAAGGACGGGCATTTCCCCTTCCAGGGACCAGACTGTTGGCGTCCACAGGTCCTCGCAGCCTCGTGGGCCTGTCCTGGGGCGGGGCGGGGCTGGAACTAGCTGGGCCTGAACTAGCTGGGGTGTGACGCGAGCTAGAGGACGGACATCAGCACTGCCGGCCTCCTGACCTCCCGAGTGAGGATGGAGGCCTTTCCCCTTTCAGCGCCCGTGTCCCCGCACACCTGGGAAGGGGGAGGGGGGAGTCTCAGGGTCCCAGGTGGAGGGAGTAACCCTCTTGTTCCAGGGCCCTGGTCTGACTGCCCCACTTCCCAGGGGTCCAGCCACCATCCCGCACACTCTGTTCTGAGTTCTCCCAACCCCGCCCAGGGCCTCGAGGCTTCGAGGATGTGCCAAGGGGTGGTCCCCATGCTGAGACCTTTTTGCTACCCAGCAGGATCGTGCAGCCGGTGGGGAGGCCGTGATGACATGCAGAGGGGAAGGCATTTGGCTGCTATAAAGCCGGGGTCCAGTCGGGGAGTATTGTCATTTATAAGCTCTCACGTGCCGAGCACTGAGCCCCTCTCTCCTCTGCAGTTCGCAGCCATCGGCCCCACCACCGCGCGCGCCCTGGCCGCCCAGGGCCTGCCCGTGAGCTGCACTGCCGAGAGCCCCACGCCACAAGCCCTGGCCGCAGGCATCCGGACGGCGCTCCAGCCTCACAGCAGCTGAGGCGGCCAGCCCGGCCTTCCTGTGGGCCAAGGACAATGGGCGCTGCCTGCAGGGGGTGAGGATCCACCCTCCAGCGCCTCCTGGAACCACCAAGGCACCAGCAATCAGGAGGGGACCTGGGCTGGCGGCCGGCCTGTGCACGTCACTTTCCTCCACCAAGGCCCCTCGGACCCTCACCCAGCCTGTGCCGGCTCGCAGGCCCCATGAGAGCGCTTCCTCCAGTGGCAGGAAGAAGTCCCAGGAACCACACTGGCCCCCGTGGGACTGGGCGGGGTGGCTGTGCAGCTTCCAGGGCAGGTGGTGTCTGGGGGAGGACGGATGTGCCCACGTCTGAACCAACACGCCTGTGTGAGTAAAGGCTGCTGTGTGTGAAGTATCTGTTCATCCTACAAAAAGGGCCTCAGTGCCGCCCTGGGAGCGGGAAATGTAAGTCAAACACAGAGCCTCCTTCAAAAGTGGAAGCGCAGCCTAGTCCGCCAGGCAGGGGCCCCACCCGCCTCCGTTTCCTGGAATCAGATGTAAGGGCTGGAGCTCCAGCAGCCCTTTGGGGCCTGGGTGACCTTGAGAAAGGAGGCTCAGTACGGCAAGGGCACACGTGGGTGCTAACTAGCCTGCCCTGGACTTCCTGAACAGAAGAGAAATGTGAACTCCTGCTTTGTTTAAACCACTCTTGTTTTGAGGTTTTCTGTTATAATCAAATCCCAGCCACAGGATGGAACCTGGCTGGTGGTGAGTGACTCAGGCCCACGCGGTCAGGGGCGGGCTGCTTTCTACCACGAGAGATGCATGTTCTGTAGGTTTGGGGTCTCGGGCGGAGGGTGGGAAAGAAAGTGAAGCCCTCCATCCTGGTGGTCAACAACTCACCTTGGTGAGCAGCCCAGTGACCGCGCATCTCTGAGGTTTCCATACAGAACAGAGCAGCCCCGGTGACCCAGCCACACCTCAGCTCCCTCACCGCTCTGACCCCCCGCCTGGGGGAGGAGGGGCAGAAACAGCCGCAGAGCCAGCCTCCCAGGGGCCCCCTGCCCTGAGCTCCAGTCAGGAGAGGTGAGCGCCTGCTCCCGGTGTCTCCACTGCAGCCAGAACAGCTGCTGCCCCAGAGCAGTCCGCGCTGGGAGCTGCCTGACGAGCCGCGAGCAGCCCGCTCTGGTCAGTGAGCAAACGCTCTCGCTGGGGTGCTGCTCGGTCTGTTCCAAGGTTTACCTGGTGGAAAGGGTTACCGGCTGGCTAAGGTGGCTTCGGGTCGCTGCCCGACACCCGGTGTGGCCGGGCCTGTGCTGGGTGCCTGGGGACCGGGGACAGCACAGCTCCTGCCGCGGGGCCAACCACCTGGAAAGAAGAGTCAGGAGGCAGCTGAGCTCGGCATGGACGTCTGTACTTCACAGGACAGCCCGTGGGGGACGCGGGGCCACCTCTCAGGACAGGCTCCGCAGCAGCGCGCTCCGGGCTCCGTCCGTCCTGGGGGAGGCAGCCTCTCGGCTTCCGCACCCAGCCGCCTGCCCCTGCGGTGGATGCCGCTGACCGTCAGAGTTTCCTTCAGGGATAAAAAGCACCAGTTAGGCTCGTCCTGCCTGTTTCTCACCGCCGACTCCCAGCTCGGGCAGGGGCGGCCGCCGGAGCTGCCTCTGGGGGACCCGAGCATGCGGCTGCCCCACGGCCTCAGGGCGGCCAGGGTGAGTCCCTGGAGGGGCAGCCCCCGAGGCTCCGGACAGCAGACAGCGCTGACCGCCCGCCCGCCCGCCCGCCCGCCCGCCGGGAACCTCACTGTGAGCTCAGCCCAGCCCCGGGGGGCGCGGCCAGGATTCCTTGCTCACCTGCCTCTGCCTTTAAGATATGTTTTTATTGACTTCGGAGAGGGAGAGGGAGAGGGAGGGGAAGTTGACGCTCACCACTGAGCAGCCCGGCCTTTGCCTTTTGAAGCTTTCCCGCTGTCCCCGACTCACAGGGCGCGGCCCCAGGTCTCCCGTGCCAGGGGTGTTCTCACGCTTACCCACGTCACTCACCTCAAGGCGCTGGCCAGCTTGCAGTAGAGACAGAGGAAGCAGCACATGAGGAAAAACGAGGCGATCAATAAGCCGCCACCGATGGCAATCATGACCTCCACGTCCACCTTGTCGATCATGCCCTCAAAGTCGAACATGTTTCTGGGTAGAGACATGCAGGGCAGTGACTGTGGGCCCCCTCACCTGCCCCCCCTCCCCCAGCCAGGCAGAGATGTGCAGGGCAGTGACTGTGGGCCCCCTCACCTGCCCCCCCTCCCCCAGCCAGGCACAGCCCCAGGATGCTTCATGGAGGAAGCATGAACCCCACCCACAGGTCTATGCCTGTGAAACACAGACGGTCTCCCAGGGAGGCCCAGGGCCTCAGCCACACGGGGATAAAGGGTTTATTCGCGGATGAAAAGGGACTGAAATGCAGTCAGAAGGAAGGAAATCAGGACAGATGGTGGGAAGGGCTTTCTCTCCCTCTCGCAGGCAGTAACGTGCAGGTAGTGGCAAGTAACAAACAGGCCGCATGTGAGCAAATAGCTTCACTCCCAAATCCTGAAATGTGCTCCCTTTCAGAGTCAGAGGTGACCCCTCACTTAAGCATCTTCCGTGGGAATAAGCAAGGGAATGTCTCTTTCCACAGTGCTATGTTGTGTACTGCTGAGAATGTGGAAACCTACTTTGTAAATAATACAGATGATAGGGAAAAAGATTTCAGTCCCCCCACTGGCACCTCGTCATGCCACCTCAGCGTTTAAGGCAGGGGTGGGCAAACTTTCTGACTCGAGGGCCCAATGGGTTCTTAAACTGGACTCAGAAGAAGGAGCTGCGGCCGTGTTTCCCGACGTTGCCATGTTAACGCTGCTGCTGGTGAAGGAGCGGAGGGGAGAGCAAGAGAACCCTTCGCTCTTTCGGCTCCGCGGGCGGATAGAACAGCCGAACGGCCCACGGCTGGTTTAAGGAGATTCTAGAAGCTTCCAGCCAAACCCTCCCCAGGCTCAGGGACGGCAAGTGTCCTGCACAGACCAGGAGCCAGTTTCTCCAGGAGCCCTTTCCCTCACTGTGTAGGGCACACAGCTTCCTCTGCCACTTTTCCTCCTAAATCCGACTGATTTCCTCAAAATCCAATTTACCTGGAACACGCACTCTGGGTAACCAAACACTCTGAGCCCGGAAGCCAGTCCACGCAGAGGCTGGGCAGTGCTGGGCGAAAGGCACCCCCAGAGACAAGCAGACCACCCAACTGGTAGGCACACGTCCCTGCGTCCAGCCGTCCGGACCCGCATGAGGCCAACTGCACGGGACAGTGAGAAAGAGGACACGTTAACTAGAGAACAGGGCCCTCAGTAGAGCCGCCTCCCACCTGATCCCGGGCAGGGATCTGACGGCCGGCACCGGCCCAGCTGTCGCAAGTGCTTCGACCTGACTCTCAGGAGGGGTCCTCGGCCAGAGCACTCGACTCCACGGGCCACACCTGACTCAGTCAGACCCCTCAGGACACAGGCTGTGTGACATCAGCTCAGGAGCCGCTCTCCGGCCCAGGGTTCTCAGTTCCGTTCCGCGGCCAGAGTTCCAGCCCCCAGCAGACAGAACATCTAGGTAACGTTTTGAATAATTGTGTCCTAAGACTTGCACCTTTTCGGGTGTCTGTTTCCCCGGAGAAAACATTTAGGGTTTGTCTTCTAATTGAAACATGGTTTGAGATTTCAATTTAATAAAAAGGAAAGAAAACCCAGTGACGTGGGAAATGAGCGACGCCCTCACACCCAGATGTGCTGTTTTAGCCACTACACAGTGACAGTGTGTGGCCATCCATTTCTCCCTCACACTGATGCTTCTCTCTCCCCTTCCTCTCTCTCTCTGAAATCGATAAAAATTAAAAATAAAAACAGCCCAGCAGGTGTGGCTCAGTGCTTGAGTGTCAACCTATCAACCAGGAGGACATGGTTCGATTCCAGGTCAGGGCACATGCCTGGGTGGCATGTTTGATCCCCAGTAGGGAGCGTGCTGGAAGCAGCCAATCCATGATCCTCTCATCACTGATGGTTTCTCTCTCTCCCTCTCTGAAAATCAATTAAATACACACACACACACACACACACACTAGAGGCCCAGTGCACAAAAATTCGTGCACTGGGTGGGGGGGGGCGGGGTCCCTCAGCCCAGCCTATGCTCTCTCGCAGTCCGGGAGCCCTTGGGGGATGTCCACCTGCCAGCTAAGGCCCAGTCTTTGGGGGATCAACCCATGCTGGCAGTCAGACATCCCTCTGGCAGCCTGGGGGCCCTCGGGGATGTCCAACTGATGGGCCTAAGCCGCAGTCAGACAGCCTTAGCGCTGCCACGGAGGTGGGAGAGGCTCCCACCACTGCCACTGGGCTCACAGACATCAGCCTGGCTTGTGGCTGAGTGGAGCTGCCTCTGTGGGAGTGCACTGACCACCAGAGGACAGCTCCTGCATTGAGCATCTGCCTCCTGGTGGTCAGTGCACATCATAGTGACCAGTTGTTCCTGGTCATTCCAAGTTAGGGTCAATTTACATATTACCCTTATATTATATAGGATATCCATCTTCAGGTGAGGATTAGAAAAAAATCCCTGAACCCCGAGAACAGACCCCATGTTGCCATTACCTGGGATGATAAACACCGATCTTCATGAACATGGGAAGATGCATGTGCTGTTCCATTGAGCTTAAATAAAGTAGAGAATACGTGACATGTAAAACTACACACAGGTACTTCTCTATGTATGTACACATTGCATCCATCCGCAAGGATGTTCACGAAGATGTTGCCATCTGAGTCACGGGCATCCCCTTTATTCTCGGTACTTCCAAAAGCTACACCTTCCTATACTGACTAGGTATTCCTTTTATAGAGAGAAACAAAAGCAATAAGAAAAAATTGATAAACAACTAAAATTTCCCCTCCCCAAAAAGGACCCAGACTCTGGGGGTGTGAAGTGCAGCACAGGGAATGTGTATGGTGCCAGGTGGGGAATCACTTTGTAAATTATATGTCTGACCACTATGCTGTACACCGGAAACTAATATAATATTGAATGTCAACTGAATTGGCAAATAAAAAATAAAATAAAAGGTAAAAAATTAAAAAGCAATTTCCACTCTAAAAGAAACAGACCCTAACTATGAGCAAATGCATGGTCCTGGGGGCTCCCTGCAGGCGCAGTTCTGAGGCGGGTTGCCGGTTTTGCGCCTCCACCCCCAGGCCCCATGGACACTGTCACCGCCCCCCAGCTCCCAACAGCTCACTCGCAGCCCACTAGCCCCCAAGCACGTCGCCAGGAAAACGCATCACAGGCGGCTGCGAGTTCGCCATGTAATTACCCGAGGACTCGGCACACAGAGCAGGCGGAGGGGTGGTCGGGTCTTCACGGGGCGGCGAGCGCCGGACCGCCTGGCAGCACGCTTCGCGCCTGGGTGAGAGGGCAGGGCGCCCGGGTGAGAGGGCAGGGCGCCTGGGTGAGAGGACAGGGCGCCCGGGCGGGAGGGGAGGGCGCCTGGGCGGGAGGGCAGGGCGCCTGGGCGGGAGGGCAGGGCGCCTGGGCGGGAGGGGAGGGCGCGGCGGCTCCGCGCGGCCGCTTATAAGGGCTTCCCGGCCTCTCCTCGGCGGGGAGACGGGGACGGAGCGGAGGCGGACGGCGGGCTCCAGCCGG